CAGGTCCTGCCGGAAATCCGGAGTTCAGTAATGCCTGTCGGTTTTCTAAACTTGTAAATCGGTTCTTTAATAGTGAAATTACGCTGTCGGGTTTCACAGATCATGCTGCCTTGGGAAACGAGGAGTGGAATCCCTGGGAAGCGGAGGAGAAAAGTGAACTGGCAGCTTCTCAGCAGAGATACGAGGCTAGTCTTAAGATGATAAAAAATGCAAGAGCTCACCTGGAGCAAACCAGGCTTAGAGTGCAGATTTGGGGCAAAGCAGCAATTGGTAAGCAGATGTAATCAATGTCGGTTTATCACTTAACCATTCTGATATAGCACTTCGTTGTTTTTGTTTTAATAACTGAAATTTACGATTAAATAATATGGATATCTGTGCATGAAGACCATTAAGGTCTACTTCAGAATCATATAAAATTTGAGAAGCAGCGGCCGTATTATATAAGGGGCTCTGACATTTCTTCCTCAAGTTCTTACACTGTTATTGATGCCGCGAAAAGGCCGAAATCAGAACTTAATAGCCTTGACGTCTATTAAGCAGGTATTCTTTATTGCAGCGCTGGGCACAGCTGGGATGGCTCCGCCAGGCTGAGTGTACAGCTTATGTACAGTTTGGAGATACATAGTCATGCGGTTTCGGAGAACTCATTAACATGTGTTGCCGCCCGCTCCCGCATGCACAGTACAGTCTTTCAGCGGTCATTAGGGGTCTCTAGTGGTTGTTTTACTTCATCATGGTAGTCTTCATCGGGGTGTCATTTTGATGTACTCCATTCAGTTAACTCCTCGTCTTTGTTAAGAGACGCCAAGGCTGGCCTGGGCTGGTTCTGCATACCTTAATGGAGTTTGGGAGTCCTGGGGTATTCTGTCTCTGAAGATAAGAGCATCCTGTCCTTGGGGATAAGCTCACCTTGTCGAATACGTTTGTCTCATACCTCCATTCTCCCACTGATTCTGCTTGTCCAAGCATATTAAGTCTCCTACATACCAGCTAAAACTACAGTTCTGGCTCTAACTACGGCTCCAGCTAAAACCACAGCTTCATTATGCTTTCTTATTTCCCAAAAATACTTGTATTTGCTGGGAGTGTAGAGTATGCAAGATCCATGCATTTAAATTCTCCATCGTATATTCATTTATATTTTAGGTCTTTACTTTTGGCAGCATGTTTTGGGAGGGCCCCTTGAGCCAGCTGATGTGACTGCACAGTGGAGAGAAGGAAGCCAAAGAGCAGGAAAAACATATTTCAGGTATGTTTGAGATGCATGATGTTGACTTCATTTGTTAACTTTAACAAACAATGCATTGGAAAGTTTATAAGATGCACATATCTTGTCTATCCCAAAATTGCAGTTATTTCAGTATCGGTTGCAAATACTTTAATTTTGTCTTGTTTTGAAAACTATGGAATATGTCCACGACTTCGCATTCAAAATTATCACAAGAACAGTTACATTTATTCATGAGAAACGTGTTTGATAAACCCAGCAAATTCTAGCCCAGACATATGACTATTAAAAAAATAGAAAACTAAGGAGCGATTTCATTTGCTGTTTTATGAAGATTTGTATACTGGAAAGAAATGTAGCAAGACTTACCAATGGTGAGAGGAAGGGCAGCCAACAGACCTCGGGAGGCGGGGAAATACAACCCTGGGAAAAGTCTGAAAAGCAGTTTGTGGCTCATAGTTGACTGAAAGAAGCGTGGAAGCAGGGAGATGTCTGCTGTTATTTGGTTTCTGTTGTATTCAGGGCAAAGGGACTTCACTCATTCTTGCATGAGTAGGGTTGTAGCAAAATCATGATTTGTTTGTATTTATAATATTTATGTAAATATGTATTTATAATAAAAAAAATCTGTGACACCTAGCATCTGGTTAACTACTTGGTTTGCAAAGCAAAATTTTGTATGTAAGGGAAGATTACACATTTGCTTTAAAAATTAATCTGTGATAATGCGTGTTTTAAGACTGTTGTCAAATGTTTTATATTGTTCAGTGAATGATATAGAACTTTTCTCCAAGGTCCTATTTAATACCACTTTCAAGGTTTTTTTATAAAGATACCGTGAAAGGTGAAGGATTTTTTCTCTATTTGACCCAGATTTCCTGCAGGATTTTTTATTTATCTGGCCAGTTTGCCAGTCTGCAGTAGTAGCTTTCCAACAACATTTTGCACCAGGACCCATCTGTTAACAAAGTATTCTTTTAAAATTTAAGAGAATTTAATTTCTGAAAATTGTGTTACTTTAAAAAGGTACTTTTCCTTTGCACAGTAAGGTGGGGTTCTAGCTGAAATTTGCAGATCACGTTTGAAGAAAGTACATGATTGTGAATTGAAAGGTATTATTTTAAGAGATCGTAAAAGTTTGTCATCGCTTTGAATTGTTTAACAATGTATCTGGCTGTGTACCTGTTACAAGCCACAGAATCTTTTTAGTAGTGTCTACATCACATTTGTAAGTGAATAAAAAATATTTTCTAGAAAGACACGTAGCCTTGATTTAAACATCACAATTATTAGAGTGTCTGGTTTACATCTAAGGAAATAGATGAAATGATGTAATCTTTAAAAAAATAGCTGTATTCGTTGTCTGCAAATATCACCAGATCCTACAAGATTAGTGAATCAGCTATGAATGATGCTATTGCATTTTGGTAGTCTCTTTGACAGAGAAGAGAGCTTTCCATTCACAAATGTGGAGAAAGAGTACAGTACTTTCTTTGAATAGGAACCAGAGCCTGCAGTGTTGTTGGGAAGAAACTTTTTTGTTTCCAGAATTAAAATCTCGGGCACTGCAGAAATCAGCGACACCCTACCAGATAGATCGTCTTCTTGATATAGACATGAGGATTTTTTTCAAGGCCTTGCTTCATGTTCATAACATGAAAATAATTTGCTGCACTTAATGAGTCTGTCACTTGAATGATTATGTTGTTTTTTCTCTCTGTTCTACCTGTTTCAGTTGAATAATGACCTCAGATCATTCCTTAGGGTATGCACCTCTCAAAGAAAGACTTCTATACGAGCATTTAAATACCTTCTTGTGACTTTTAATGTAACCAGTCTTAGTAGAGTCTTTATTTTTAGTTCAACTTGGATGCTAAATCTTATAAAAATATAAAGTCCAAGTTTGATACTAACATAAGAGAGGTTAAAATTTGACAGACTGGCAGGTACTTGTGCAAGGTATAGAAAGCATGTAAATATAACTGTTATTTTAATTACTGGTTTTTATTGTGGTTTTATTGTTAAAGTATGGGATTTCCACGGTGTTTCTTTTTCCCCACTGTAATTTTTTATGCTGTTAAACTTCATATTTTCCTACACACAGGTTGTTGCTTCCCCACCTTCACATCCCGTTATTCCTGTAAGGTTGACAGCCTCACAGCACTGTGTCCATAGATAAAGACCTTTTTCCCCAGGTCTCTTTTACAAGCTGATCACTGGATCAACTCTGTATCCTGTTCAGTATTTTAGGCATTCTGATGCTCAAAGTGTTCCCTCCTCTGAATCCCACTGATTCTTTACTCATCATCTGTTAAATGAAGTGGAGTTTTTTTCTCATTGTCTATTAAACTTTGATTTTAAGTCTTGATGTGACTTACATTTAATCTGTCAGAAGTCTTGATTCCAAATCATAAGTCTCATGAATCTTGGATCTAAAATACACCCACTGAGCCAGCAGCGTGTCCGCTTAACTTAGGTTTAGAATATGCTTACCTAAGGTCAGTCTGCTTCGGAAAACCTCACTGGGGTAGTTTTTACAGCTTCTGCTGTGAATTTTCTTTTCCTTACTAAGCACATTTGAACTGAAACTAGTTGTCGATTTCAGCAATTCTTGAGTTAAAATTCATTCTTAGTCTAAATTAGTAAAAACTTGTGCTCATTCTAAATTAAGTTTTGGTAGTAGCTGAAAAACTGTAGTAATGTACCAGGTTAAAAATCTAAGACTTAATTGACTCTTGAAAAAAAAAAATTGCTAGCTTTGTCCCCTCTGCTCTTTCCCAAACCAAGTAATCACTAATCCTTCGAGTTCAGCCAATAGTCTGTTAACAGAGCAGTTACCTGCAGAGCAGGAGGTGGCAAACACTGATTTGCTTCCTTGCAATTCTTAAATGGCTGTTGTCAAATATTTAAAAATTGTTAGTGATTTAATGATTTTGCTACGTGATTGAAATTCCCATGGTAAATACATTGTGTGTGATCTAGAAATGCAATTTTCTACCTAAAATGTTTGTGCTGACTGGGTTATATCAGAACCTCAAGTTTGACCTGGGTCACAAAAGCAACTAAGTTTACATTTAGGTAGGTACCTCTGGTGTTACAAATTCTACTCAGTATCAGGTGACACAGTGGTCTAACCCTAACTTAACCAAAGTTACAGAGAAAAGTAGTATGCCAAACTGGTTAAGTCTCCCTCATAATCATACCTTGTTAGTATACTCTTAGAGATTTTTGGGAGGACCTCTCTTGTTCTAATATAGTGTTAATTGGTTATTACTGGAGTTAAGTAAAAGGTTTACCTTTAGTGAACATCCAAGTACATGCTTTTTTAAAAAGTTGATTATTTACCCACATTTTGATGTTTGAATATGGCAGTAGTTCTGATTTATTGACAAAATACCTTATTTTCATTTGAGTATAAATCTCCTTTTTCCTGAAAAAAAAAGATGAAGTCAACTTTATTCCTGTATTAATCTGTAGATGGTAACAAAAGAAATGGTCACAGTTGCACAGTTACTTTGCAGTATATTGCATTTATATTGTGGTCAAGGGAACAGTCTAGACTGAGACCTATGTCTAGTGTAGTCCCTCAGGGATTGGTACTGGGACCAGTATTATTCAATATATTCATCAGCGAACTGGATGAGGGAACAGAGCACACCGTCAGCAAGTTTGCTGATGACACAAAACTGGGAGGAGTGGCTGACACACCAGAGGGCTGTGCTGCCATTCAGAGAGACCTAAACAGGCTGGAGAGTTGGGCAGGGAGAAATTTTATTAAATACAACAAGGGCAAGTGTAGAGTCTTGCACCTGGGAAAGAACAATCCCAAGTACCAGTACAGGTTGGGGACTGGCCTGCTGGAGAGCAGTGTAGGGGAAAGGGGCCGGGGGGGGGGATCTGGTTGACAGCAGGATGACCATGAGCCAGCAATGTGCCCTCGTGGCCAAGAAGGCCAATGGCATCCTGGGGTGTATTAGAAAGGGAGTAGCTAGTAGGTCGAGAGAGGTCCTCCTGCCCCTCTACTCTGCCCTGGTGAGGCCACATCTGGAATATTGTGCCCCTCAGTTCAAGAAGTACAGGGAACTGCTTAAAACAGGCTGAGGGAGCTGGGTCTCCTTAGCTGGAAGAAGAGGAGGCTGAGGGGTGACCTCATTAATGTTTATAAATATGTAAAGGGTGAGTGTCAGGAGGATGGTGGCAGGCTCTTTTCAGTGATGTCCAGTGATAGGACAAGGGGCAGCGGGTGCAAGCTGGAGCATAGGAGGTTCCAAGAAAACATTGGAAAAAACTTTTTCACTGTGAGGGTGGCAGAGCACTGGCACAGGCTGCCCAGGGAGGTTGTGGAGTCTCCTTCTCTGGAGACATTCAAAACCCATCTGGACACGTTCCTGTGTGACCTACTCTAGGTGATCCTGCTCTGGCAGGGGGGGTGGGCTAGATGATCTCTAGAGGGCCCTTCCAACCCCTGACATTCTGTGATCTATGATTAAAGAAAGAAAATATCTGGAGTACAAACTACAGAGTAAGGATGTTTGGAGGATTAGGGCCAATAATTTGTCTTAAAGGTGTTTACTGTTTGTATTTTGATTTTCACAGCTTCATCACTGGTCCATCTGTAGTTCCTGGCTACTTCTCAGTTGAAGCTGAAAATATTGTACTAGTTCTGAACGGAAGAGAAAAAGCAAAGACTGCTTACGCCACTCAGTGGTTGCATTACGCACAAACATTAATTCAGACTCACAAAATACAGCACGTAGTGGTTGTGCTGCTGGGGAATGAGCAGTGCAACAATGAATGGATTCAACCATACCTGAAAAGAAATGGAGGATTTGTAAATCTGCTCTTCGTTACATATGATTATGCATTGGTAAATGAAGAAGATATTTTCCAGTGGCCATTGGGAGTAGCTACGTAAGTCCTGTAGGCACAAAACAAAATCGAAACTTAGTTGTTATGCATGAAGTATGGAAAATACGTCTGAATATTACTGCTGATACCCAAAACAACTGTAATAAGTAAAATTGAAGAACATGATCCTATTAATGATTTCCAAATCCAGGGCTGGAATCTTTGGAAATTGCATTTAGCAATAAAAATTATAACAGTAAAAGAACACTAGGATTTAGGGAGCTTAAAAAAAATTAACCTGTGCCTGATGGGGTTTCTGTTTGTTTACTTTCTCTTCAATAGATTTGCTTTTGAGAGTCATGGTAACTGCTGATGTAATATATACCAGTGACATGGAGATTTAAAAGATACTTAGGTAACTAAGTTCCAACTACTGCTTGTGTAGGAAAGGAAAGGGATGGTACTGGTGGTACTTTTTAAAATTCCTGTTATGGCTCAAGAGGAAATTGTATGCATCCCATTTGAAATAATATACTGCAGTATCACAGTGACATAAGGTGGCTTAACTGCTAACTCACAGAAACACTTACTGCTCAAACTGTTTATGTGGAATAGATAAAGGTTGGTTCAGTTACATGCATTTTTACGCCTTATTAACAGTTAATAGTGTTAAAGTTACTTATGGTAATATAAGATGAAAAGAATACAGGATTATTTTTATATTTTATATTGAATTTTAATTCATTATCCTGTATTGAGCCAGTTGGCAAGCTGTACAGAGTTTTTATACATAGCTTGAACTTGCTCACAGTGTTAATGAAATACTCTAAATTTGCATTCTTGATGGTATCAGAGAATTCATTCCATTGGAAGTTACTAAGTAAAAGGAAGTTGGGTGGGGAGAGACAGATCAGGTATCAAAATGAGGCTTCGCAGCCCATGCACACCAATTGTTTTAAAACTTCTCCTTAAAGGTACACAGATGTGCCAGATTTTTCAAGTGAAGAGGGAAAATAAAAATGTAGAATCCTGAAAAATTATTTGGCATGAAGGAAAAATATTTTTTCTGAAAGTGAGCAAATTAACATTCAGCATGCAGAAGAAGAATGAGGAAAGGACTGTTCCATCAAAATTTGAGAGGGTGAAGAAACTGAGTATGTCTTCAGAACCATTAATGGGAATGAAGAAATTACTACGAAATAGAGACTACCTTTGAAACCAGTAAAGAATTGGGATCAGGGTGTAGCTTTTCTTACAAAAAAAGAAACAACAGAAGCAGAAGAAAAGTGGTCTGTCAAAAATAAGACATTAAAAAAAATATCTGTCTTAATTTGAAAATGCAAAGGAGCGGAAACTTTTTACACATTCACCTGTTCCAGGAAAAAATACTAACGTTATGTAATTAAGAAGTTAATACTAGTCCTTCAGCTGAGGCAGTGTTTCACTGTCTTGTCATGCTGGCCACAATAAGTTATGTGAGATTCAATCAGTCAAAAACCAGAAGAATGCTTGATGTGATGAAAACATGTCTAAAAGAATGGCATACAGCTTACACTGGATCCCAGGACTTTGCGTTGGTTTTGCTGAGTCCAAAAAGGCAAGTTAAGTAGCCTGTGTGACAAGGTATTTGACTTGCACGACATGCTATTTAGTAGCCAAAAGATAGCAGTACTGAAATCCACCAAGATCAAAGTGAGATTTTCCTGTGAGAGGTTCCCAGTGGTATTTTCAGCTGATAATCATCAGTGATTAAGGTAGCTCCCCAGTTACCATTAACCTATGCACTAAAGTCAAAACTAGTGGTTGCGTCAAAAAGAGCTACTTTTGAAAAAGACAGTTTCTCAAGGATATTTTGTAACATGCACACATAATAACTCTGATGTTGAAAGAAGACGTAAGTACTCTGGAAAGTCTCTGAGGAGAGTGATTGGAGCAAAGGGAATAAAGACCAACTTGTAGGAAAGGGCTGGACTGGTTTGCTTGTGGATTCATCTGTTTTTGTAGATATGGACTGTCAACAAACAGGTGGTTTTAGTCTTAGAATTTGCTGCACTAAAAGTGAAATAGTGCAAAATGTTTTTTTTCTTTGACATGAACCATGTAATTGTCTAATGTGTATACATTGGTTTTACAGCTACAGAAATTTTCCCGTTGTTGAACCCAGCTGGTCAATGCTGCATGATCCAAGATCGTATCTGTGTAATTTCTTAGGAACCGTTTATAAGAACTCTTCTAGGGAAACTCTGATGGAAATTCTGTCGCAGGATGGGCTTGACAAACTTTGTTGGATTGCAGCCAGAGAACAGTGAGTCTTTGATTTACTTTGTGAAAATATTCAGACTTTTTTGCCTGTTCATTATTACCAATCTTTTCTTAGGTGGTAAAAAGTAGTACAAGTCACCACTCATAATTAAAACAGAGAAAACTGATGAGACCCTTCATACAGGTCTTCGTAATGTAACAGCCGTTTTGTTGCCATATTTTACATAAAGCATATTTTTAAATACATAGAAAAATCTCAAATATGTACTACATATGAGGACCATCATGGTTTTTTCTGATATACTTTTGATTGTAGTGGGAGAAATAATATTTGTCTTGCACTGCGAATGTCTTAATGTCTTAGTAGAGGAAAAAGACAGCTGTATTTTGTTTTGTTCCATATGTGAGAGTGGATTTAATCTGTACGGTATGGTTCTTTTTTATTTAGAATAGGTAGAATAGATCTTTTGGCTAACAGGAATAGGACTCCATTTGTATTTTTTTAATTTTGCCAAGCAACACCTGTAAAGTGTTTGGTAGCAGACACAGTAGTGCCTCAGCTACCCCCATGAAGAATCTCGGGAGATAGATTGTATCTGTCACAGAAACTCTTACTTCACGGAAGTTCTGGGGCACTTCAAGCAGATGGATTCAGGTTAATGGATTGCTTTACATCCTAATGTTTGAAGAGCAAACCTGTACTGATTTGAAGTGTTTGAGGCCAAAAAAATTTCATGGAAAAGTCCATTGAGTTTCTCCCTGTGTGTCTACTTCTGCATTGTGCGGTGAAGTAAGTTGACATATGCATCACCCAAGTTGTGTAGAAGATGTAAAAAGGCATTTCAATTTGCCTCTTACTACTTCTGAGTGTTAGTAATTTCCTAAAAGGACCATATCTTAAAAATGTTAGAATCTATTTTTAACAGTGACATTTTCAATAAATAATTAGAGGACTCTTTAAGATAGTTAAGAATAAAAGTAAAAGCCTATTCATTGTCTGTGTCATATAAAATTCATACACTGATGGCATTTTCAGTTTTATAAATAATTGAAATTAAAGCATATCTCTATTTTTTCATTGTGGTGCCTTTCGGAAAATTGTTAATTTTCAACCCCTTTACTTTCCTAGGTGGCAGCCTCAAGAAACAAATGAAAGTTTCAAAAACTATCAAGATGCCTTGCTGCAGAGTGATTTGACATTGTGCCCAGTGGGAGTAAATACAGAATGCTATAGAATTTATGAAGCTTGTTCATATGGATCTCTGCCTGTTATAGAAGATGTAATGACACCGGGTGACTGCGGAAATTCATCAATGTACCACAGTGCTCCATTACAATTATTAAAAACCATGGGGGCTCCATTTATCTTTATTAAGAACTGGAAAGAGCTTCCTGCTGTTCTAGAGAAAGAAAAAAAAATGAGCTTACAAGAAAAGATTGAAAGGAGAAAAAAGCTTATAGAATGGTATCAAAACTTCAAAGCATGGATGAGACAGAAATTCATTAATACTTTGGAAAATTCGTTTTTGCCAAGTGATAAAGGATAAATTGTCCCTTTTGAAAATCTAGAATAGATCGAAAGCTTAATTTCCATTAACCTTCTGAGGAAGCTTTTATACAAAAGAATGGGTGGATGCATTCCTTTTGAAGTCAACAGAATTGCACTAGCTTGGCGAAGAGCTACGTTCGTCCCTCCATCCTTAACAGTTTTCAGAGAGGTTGTTGGCTTAGCGGAGTGGTAGCCTGTAAGGATGACAACCATTGTATTACTATTTTTACAATTTCCATGTTGGTTGATGGCCTGATAAAGTTTTTTTAGGAGAATGTCTTTGAGCATGTGAAGTTGTTAAAATCCAACATGAGGACAACAGTTGCGTTCAAAGAAAAGAGAAGAAATGAAAGCTGTAGGGTACAGAGTAGTTTGTTCTGTAGAGTAAAGACGAAAAGTATGATTGTAGCGAAATTGCCAGGTTTAGCACAGTCTTTAAGATATATCCTGGTAAGTGCTTGTTTTGAAAATGTGGAGATGTGAACTGTTTACTTGATTGACATTTCATTTCCAAGGAAGTGGCCATAAAGCTAATTAAACACTGTGGAATAAAAATGTGTATTTCAAGGTGGAAATGGAGAACTCTTTCTTAGAAATATTTCATAGCAGTCTATTTCCCCTTTAATGTCAGAGAACAAAATTTCTTTCTTCCATTTGCATTTAGTCTTGGGACTTTCTGAAGTTCTGCTGCAGGTGCATTTATTACCTGCAGTTACAGCTGCACATTCTGAACACCAGGCCTGCCTGTAGCTTATCTGATTTCTCAAAATCTGCTAAAACTTGTCAGCTCCAAAAGATGGCAGAAGTATAATATCGCATGTTTGCGATACTACATGTACAACAGACAGTTTCAACAGCTTTCTTTAAACATAACCAGAGGGATTTGTGACTGTTCTTGCACCTCAGACATTGGTGTGTGCTGTTGCCTTCAGCACGTTCAGCTGAGCAGTGTTACTGCATACACAACGTTGGCGCATTGACGATGGTGTAAAATAGCCAGTTTTCTGTCTTTGGGTATCGGCTTCTCATGCAGGAATTCAAAAAGTGCAGCTGTACTGCTAAGTTGTATTCATTTGTGTAATGATTCTACCTAGTTCTGGAATGTGTATTATAGAAGAGTACTTCTCTGTTGGGATTTTCTTGCATCAGTTCTGTGTAAAAAACCCAAACCCAACCAACCAAAAGAAGAACACACCAAAAAAACCCACAAACAAACCCAAAACATAAAAAACCACTGGGTTTCAGTTTGCTGACAGTGGATGGTGTTCATGGTGGCTGCTCTAGATTTGGAATAAGGTGTGTTTCAAAACACCTACTTTTTTAGGAGCTTGCATTCCATATACTTAAACGATGCTCTAAGAAGACAAATAATCTAAATCTATATAATCTGAGTTGTATATCTAAGACAACTTCCCTGTGGCTGTCATCCACCCATTCTATCCAAAGCAGGCAGTTGCAACGCGATTCAAACATAACTGTTCAGCTGAGACTGGAAGTACAGCTGTCACAGTGCAGCACTGAGTTGATGAGCCCTGCTTAGAGGTGGACTTTGTTGGACTAAATTTACAATAAATTTCCATACTGAGGATCTGAAGTAGCCATCTGCACAGTAGTACACAGTACGTAGAGGGTTAGAGGAAGCTCAAGTATCTCCAGTAGTGTAGTGTCATTGCTGTAATTTCCCTCTAGCAGAATCTTAAAACAAGCTATAAAGTTGTGGAGCAGTGGTCTACAGCAGCGTTTTTTGCTCTGTACTCAGCAGATCTCTCGACACTCTGGCAAGATTTCAAGAAACTGCAAAAAGCAGCTAAGAAGAGAGAGAAGTCTTTGTTAGTCAGCCTAGATTCTTACAAAAGAAGCTGCAGCGTCTAAAAAAATTGCATGGCATGTAAGCCAAAATCTGAAAAACAGTTCAGGGTGTTGATCATTAGAAGAAATGTGCTGCTGTTCATGTGTTCTTTTCTAGGTAAATATGTGAGTTTATTTTCAAACTCATGGCAGTTATATGTTAAGCGTGGCCAAGACATACACTAGTTTTATCAAAAGTTCACATCACAGCTGCTTGCCTGCTCTTAGAGTGCAATAGGAAGTAATTCACATTTTATCTCTATTTAACTAATTCTTGACACTTCAAAATCATCTGCTTTGGTTCAGCGGGAATTAGCAGTAGAAGTTTTTTTCTTGTGTTCTATTATTTCCAGTGCTAATGGAGCAAAGAGCAAAACATCTTAAAGCTAAAGGAGGGTTACTAACACATCAAGCAGGTTGCTGGTATTCTAATTTCCGTACTGCACTCTCCAACTTGTGGGAGAGATTGTAGTTCCGTTTTTACTTCCTAATCTTTTCTCATTTGGAACAGTTGTCAACTCTGTCCCCTGTTTGTATCCAGAGATGAGCAAGACAAGAAGGACTGTAGCAGAAAAAGGAGGAGGCCGGATGAAGAAAGACAGTGAGGGATGTGAGAAATCAGAGAGGTGGTCTTGGCAGTGGTAGAGGAAACTGGTTTAAAAGAAGGGAAGAAGTTAAACTGCTGGTGAAGAAGATGGTTTATCCCCTGTATGACACATCCAGGCAGGAGTAGGTAGTATCTACTGTCAGTGAGAAGATGAAGAATCAGTTCAGTTGTAACTCAGTCACTTTAACTGTCGGAGGTACTAAAGCTGATGAAGACTTCACAAAATTAAGCTGGATTGTCTTGCTATGAAACAGATCTAGTTTCTCACAATTTAGTGCGATTCAGTCTTTCCAACTTAATTCTCAAACCATTAAGAGTGGCTGTGAACAAATGGTTTAAACTGTTTAAAAGATAGTCTTCTAGAGAGCAACGTGTTCCCAGAGAAACGTGACCAGCCTCTAACCTGGTAATTCTGCAGGTAAGGAAGCAACTTGCAAAGGATCCAGCTGCTGATTGCTTATCATCCTGGAACATCTACATTGTGATAGTGTATTTCATTAGTTAGATTTTCTGGTATTTTTAGATACTGTCTTTAAGTGACTGAAACTTACACAAGGAGTGATACAACTAAGAGTTTTGGAGAAGTCTTTCTCTCAGCAATTAATTGGGAACACTGTGGTGGAATCACCGATTTCTTTCTTGGCTTATTGCCCTCACCAAGACACTTGCAAAACCACGGAAATAAAATCCTGTTACTTCTTGGCAAACCCAATGGTAATAACCTCTAAGAGCTGGGCAACCTCAGAAGCAGCTTCCATGCTATAGAGTCCTAAAATATTTCCAGGAATTCTTCCTACTGGGATGGGAGAAATGAGTGACAGTTGAACAAGATTATGCTTATTTTTGGCGTGCATAAAGACTGACATTTGGGGAGATGAAAGTATTTAAAATGCAGTTCCAACTGCGCATTAAGAAATACTTAAAAAAAAAATGCTACCATAAGGCATGTTGGGACTACCATTTTCCAGTAGCTGAGAAGGAGTTTGTGTAGTGCTGTGAACCCTACACAAAAAGTTTGATAAATCAACAACAAAAAAAAAGCCAACCTGATGAAAATGTGCCCAAAAGGATGACATACAGTTTATATTGGATCTCAGGACTTTGTGTTTGGTGGTTTCTTTGCTTTCTGAGTCCACAAAGATAAGTTAAATAGTTTGTACAATACACTCATCTGGTATCAGTTCAAAGTGACACTGTAAAAATGGCGCTGTGCAGCCAAAGCAACAGTGGTTCTAAACTCTCATCCTCATCCCAGCAATTTAGGCAGTTACAAAGAATTGCATAGATCTCTTACTAATAGCCATGACTGATAATCCTCTTGATAAAGAAGCAGCCTGCAGAAGGTCATGTTACTGACTGATACTTAAAACTCTTCGGGTGGGTCAAATTTCAGGATTTTTCCAGTGTCTCCTAACAAAAAAAAATAAATGGATATGTGTTTTTATTTTGTAAGTATAAATTCTTTTCACCTCTTTGCTACTAATCTGAGCATGGAAGACTGCTTTGAGGGTTAAAATCTCTCCATATGACTCTTGTTTTAAAGAATGTAAAAGCTGAAAAGTCACTAGAGGTGAAATCCAAGAGCCTAGAGGAATGCCTGCCTGCACTTCTGATGTATTTAATTCAAAGTGTTTAAGAGAAAATGTATCTGAGAACTGGAACCACACAGCAGTAAAATAGTGAAGCAAAGAGTTTCAGAACAGGCTCTGTAACAGTCATCTCCTAGGGTCTGGTGTTTGACTGTGGCTAGTATTTTAAGTATCTCTGATTCAAGGTCCCATAAAGAGACCTCAGTCGTCAGAGGAAAACCTCTACGTATTTTGAAATTCAAAAACCTTTTAAAGATTTCTCTAGTTCAGTAGCCAAAAGCTGCTGTCCAGTTTCAAGAGGCTGGCCACACAGACAGGTATTCGTACAGTTACACCTCTTACCTTTTAACTGCATCGGGTGCCCTGGTAGCACATGCCGTGCTAGTCACATTTTTCTTCTCTGAACACCCTTGGGACCTGAGTGCAGCTCAGTGAACGCTGCTCTACCAGAATACAAGATGCTTCTGATCCGTAGTCCACAGAAATGTGTTTTATCAAGCATGCCACAGAATAACATGATTCATTCTCTCAGCCAGTCTTACACTAGCTTAGTCATAAACAGCTTTAGATAACTATGCTCAAATGGCTTCCTATTCGATATTCTGTACCGTCCCATCTAACAGCGCAAAACTTCTGGTTTTCACGTGACAGCAGTTGCCATTCACAGAATCACTGAATCTCTTTGGTCGGAAGAGACTTTTAAGATAAGCAAGTCCAGCCATTAAGCTAGCACTGCCAAGTCACCCCTAAACCATGTCCCTAAGTATTCCTGTGCTCTTCATTATGTCTGTCTTCAGGAATGCATCATTTGTGGCTTGGGCTGCATTTTTAAGACAAACAGAACAGAACTGAAGAATTATGCTCAGCTTCCATTAAATGTGTGTTTTCAGAAGATAAGAGATGAAAAATAAAGGCATCAGACAGAAATGAGTCCTTCACTAAGCTCCAGATGGAACAGTCCATTGAAAGACACCGATTTGTGCAGGTGGCCACAAATAAACAATCTCCAAATGACTGAAATGAGCCCGATTCCTTCATATGAAGTTATTCAAACAGCATAAACCTGCTAAATGTCATCTTTTGAAGTTTACTGTATCAAAGGAATTTTGTTCGGGGCCCAAAATGCAAGGTTTCTACATAAAGTGATTTCTTTCTTTTCATATTTTTCCCTCCGCAATGGAGTTCTTTTCTGAAGAGTAAGAGTAGTCCCTAGCTGTGAGCACAGATCCACCTTAAGTAATATTTATATAGGAGATGCTGAAATGTTTTCCTATGTGACTGCTTATTTACTACTTTTCAGTATTTGTGGCAACCCTTGTCACCTACCATGGTGCTCAACGCTAACACACAAAATACTCTGAGACTTGAGATACCCAGGATCAAGCCTTTGTTCCAGCTTGGGCAGAGCAGACTCTGCCACTGCCAACTGCCCAGCTGCCCTTTCAGAACCATGACCATAGGGAAGGTCTGTGTTGGATCTCTTTACTCCTATTTTTGACTGGGAAAACCTACTTTGGACGCCTAC